CTGTCGGCTTTTAACTCTAAAAGTTGGTTTTCTACACCTTCGGTGGGCACAGCACAGATAGCCCATTTAATACTTTTGTGCTTAACAATAAATACAACTTTTTTGATAGTAGTCATGTTGAGTTTATTTACAACAATATCTTCAGAAGTTGAAATAATCTGTTAGATTGTAAAGGAAATGTAATATGAAAGGCCCACATCAGAACTATTTTTGGTATCATTTGATACGAATTAATATATATATATTGATCTCCCCCTCTTCTAACAGTGGAATAATCTGCATGTAATCACCCAAGAAATGACAACAGCTATGCTCGATGTTTTATTACCCTCATTCCATGTTGCCATAGAAACAACAGATATGAAAGCTCAATTCCACTATATATAACTTCCAACCTAATGACTCATAAGTGCTTCCAGGTGAAAGCACGATACCATACCAGTTTAGTACAGTATGTTGTAAATACCGTTGACGGAAACTAGCGTGTTATATAATTAATAAATATAAACAAGTAACAATCAAAAATAAATATATTCAGCAAAAGAAAGTTAGAGCTTGTGCTGCGGTTCCAGCTAATCAACTTGTCTAATAATGAAAAACACAACTGACCAATAGACATATCGCTTCCTGCAAATTATACTGTGATTGAGGTTTCATTCTAAAAAAAAATTAATATTTAAACAGCAATCAGATTTTGATACACCCACCGTTAGTCTGCTGGTTTCCTCCACTGATGACGAAGCATGATAAGATAAAACTTCTAGAGCTACACGTTGTTTGGCCATTAACTTCATGGCGCTTTCATAAACTTGGGTGTTGTGAATTCCCAGACCACAAAATATAGAAAAAGCCTGAAAAATAAATTTATTGTGTGAAATATATCAGTAAGACTGTGAATTTCTAAACACTTCATAACTGGTTCGAGATAAGTGACATCAAGATATCTGGTTCTGAGAGTAAAACCCTCGTCAGCAGTTTATTACAAAAAACATGTTTTATTCACATTTAATAAAGTGTAAGTGAGTACTCTAGTTTGTTCATTCCGAAGTACATTTTTACATCACTTTAAAGGCACGATACTCAGGTATCAAATGTTCTATAACCATAAAACACTTTACTATTAATGACGTATCGAAAACGCTTTTAAAGCTAAGGTATAATATATTTTATTTAATTCTTTAAAAAAAAACACCTTTAGAATTGAATTCTTCATTCAATTGATATTATACGTTTATCACGAAAGGACCCTTGGAGGTGGAAATATATCTTCAATTATTAGGGTCGTTAAGAAATTAATGTCGCTTTTTTTTTAGATGAAAAAACCCGAACAACTTATATATCAAAACAAAACATTTATTAAATTAAATAGTCTCCATTCTTATCGATGATGCTTTTCCATCTTACAATCAAATTGGTAATGTCCTGATTAAAGAAATCACTTGGCTTTGAAGCAAAAAACATGTCGATGTCCTTATTAACACCTTCCACATTTGCATACGTTTTCCCATTAAGATGGTGTTGCAGTGAACGAAAAACATGCTTTTCTG